GAGGGGAGCGGAGCCGCAGGCGCTGTGTGGAGACGGGAGGAGGAGCGCAGCGTTCGCTGGAGCATCAGTAATTGGGAGAGAATCCGAGGGGGTGGAGGGACGCCTCTCATCCCTGCAGGGGTGCCTGGTGGCTGCTGCGGCCAGAGGCACAGCTGCAGGTGAGTTTGAGCATCCAGCACACGGGACCTGGAACAGCAGGACCCAAACCCTGGTGCAGGGAAAGGTGTGGAGGAGCCCCGCCTCGGGTGCTCAGGTGCCTGCCAAGTTTCCTYCCAAAACGAGGGGTCAGGTTGGGGTGCATTTGGCAAAACTGATGTTGGGAATCTCGCCAGCAGAGCCCTGAATCCTTCTGGAGGTTGGGAAGGTCAGGAACGGCAGAATCTGGCTGCAAGGGGTGGCCGGTAAATACGACAGAGTTCCTCTGGGAGCTGGCACAAACGGGGCGCACCGGGCAGGTGGGCACCCGGCTTGTTCCGTGCTGACATGGCCCTGCAGCCACCTCTCCCTGCAGAGGTGACAGCCTGGCACCCCCTGCCCGCTCCCTGCCCGCTCGGGGCAGCTGTGCCCACGCRGCCCCGGGGCCGGAGCGGGATGCTGGCTGTCACCAGCGCCTGATGGAGCTGTCACACTTGGCAGCTCCAGCCGCTCTCCTCGGCCGAGTGATCCCGTGAGACATCTGCCACTGCCGCGGGCCTGCACAGGGCTCTGCTGTCCCCAGCCCGGCCGGTGCCATGGCCGGGAAGGGCACTGGCGGCAGCTGGCCCTGGCATTTCGGCAGGACGCAGATGTCCGGTGTGGGATCCGGGATTCCTGCGGCTCAGCGGAAACTTGTTCTGCTGAGTSCAGCACCCCGTGCTCGGGCACTGTCACCTCTCTGGGGGACAGGAAGGAGGGCTCAGGGGTGCTGCCAGCTGGCTCACAGCCTGCCCGGGGGGCACAGTGGCTGCCTGTGTATCCTCAGTCGCTCTCACCTTGCACTGGCGGRGCTGGGAGGGTTAAAACGCCAGGCTGCTGCTCTCCGAGGAGGGCTCCTGCCTCCCTCCACGTGGGTACGGGCCAGGTAGGGCTGAGCAGAGCAGTTGGGCTGCAGCTCCCAGCTCAATGCAGCAGGCGCAGCGCTGGCCCCGGCTGCCCTGGAGCATCCTGCCAGGGGCTGCCCCAGGAGGACGGTGCCAGCCTCCTCCCAAAGCTCCCGAGCCAGAGGATGCTGTGCTCCCGGAGCCSGAGCTGGCAGAGCCCTCCTGCCGACGGAGGGGGAGGAGGAGGTGGCAGCGCTGGAACAGAGCTTCCCATCAGCACCTTATATTTACTGCAAGGTCCTCTGGCTGTGACCTTTAAAAGACAAGGTGGCCTGGCATCCCGGGAGCTGGCAGTGGGCAGGAGGCACCGCAGGGATCGGGCTCTGCAGGACTGCCCTGGCTGCGATCGACACGCCGGGCTGCGAGCTGAGCGAGAGGTCCCGGGCACACACTGCGGGTGAGTACCTGGCTGCTTTTGTCATTCCAGCTCTCGGCTGCCTGCAGCTCTCCCTCGGAGCGCTGCTTTCCCCTCTCCCTGCCGGCGCTGCCGCTGCCCGCTCGCCCCCGCCCGCAGAGCCGCTGCCCTCCGGGACGCGCCGGTTCCTCGCCCCCTTCCACGGGCCCTTTAAACACGCAGGGGACGAGCGGCAGCGTCCCCCGGCAGCCACTGCAGAGCATCTGCAAGRATCGCTGAGGCAACGCTGCTGTATCCCAGGAGAAAGTTTGTTCCTGACCCGGCACAGCCCGAGGCCGCGTCCACCGAACCCTCCCCATTCTGTCCCCCCGGAGCTGCCCTTCACAGCCCTCACTGCCCCAGGCTGTTCCCTTTCCAGGTGCCCGCTCATTGCTTGCCAGCGGGAGCAGGGCAGCACTGCAGGGACTGGCTCTGGACTGTCCCTGAGGCACCCCAGCCACCCCCTGTGACTCTGCACAGCATCAGACAGAGCTCTCTGCCTCCTCCCACCCCCTCTCTTGCTCTTTAACACCTGTGACCCCACCTGGCCCAAGGAAATGTGACTGTTCTGCAAAAGGGAATGTCCCTGGTTCTGGAGAATCCGCAAAGCCCCAGCGCCGGGGARGTGCTGTCAGTGCCCTCAGCTCCCTGCAGCGATCAGAACTCACCCTTGTCGTGTCCCACGGGCTCTCCTCTGTGATCCCGCTGCTTTCCTCAAGTTTTGTGCCAGCAACATTCCAAGAAGTATCCCCAAAGTGCCAAACTGTCCCCCCTCCCCTTTTCCTGTGGCTGCATTTGACCCCCTAAAGCCGGGTGGGGATAACCCCACGTCCTCCTCCGGGGAGCTGCTCCTCCCTGCCTGGCAAAGTTGTTCCCTGCCATGGGCCAGGGATCGATTGGCTGCACCCCCCGGCAGCAGCCCAGCKCTGCAGGAATGTGTCAGCAGCACAGTGGAGGTGATTTGGGTGCCCTTCCTCGGGCAGGGACGGGTGCCACAGAAGTTTTCCGCAGCACTGAATCGTCCTGGGTGCAGCGGGCAGGGACAGGGACACTGGGACAGCTCACCCCACTGGCACTGCTGCTGGGAACAGTGGGGGGCTGGGGAGGGGACAAGGCAGGGCTGGAAGGTGGAAAGAGGTGGTGGCAGTGCCCTGGGGCGGTGTGTGCGGAATTGGGATGCACCGGCAGCCCCGACTGAAGGGCAGCAGGGAGAGGCACGGTGCGGGGCGGCTGTCAGAGCTTCCCTCGCCTCTCCACGGYGGGTGGATTGATGGATGTGCCCATTAACTGTGCCCCAGTTGTGTCGCGCTGCTCCGGAGCATCCCCCGGCGCTGCTGGCTTGGGAGAACAGCGCGGATCCGGGTGTCCATCACTCCGGCTCTGCCAGAGCCTGCCCAGCCTTACCTGCACGGCAGCCGTCAGTCCCGGCTCTCTGGRAAGCTCAGCTGGAGAAGCTGACAGGGCACAGGTCCTGSAGGCCYCACAGTGGGTGCAGAGCACCCCGAGATATCCCTGTGGCAAGGCTGGGGCAGCACTGGCCACGCTCCCACCCCCAGCACTGCCCTGGCAGCTCGCAGGGACGGAGCTGTGGACACTCAGGGTGTCCTGGGCTCCCTCAGCACCCAAAGCACCCCAGCAGCACCCAGCTCCACACGGGAGCGGGCTCATCCCCCCAGGCAGAGCAGATGAGGGACCTGCCCTGCCCTTCCAGGCAGCGGCACAAAAGCATCGAGGGCAGAGTCGGTGTTTTGTCGTTCTTTTGTTTGTTCGACTGTACAAAGAGCAGTAAAAACATCCCGCAGGGGAAGGGAAGCCCCGGGAAGGCGCAGAGCCGAGGCCACAGCACGACCCAGAGCAGCCCCTCCTGTGTACAGATCTGTATTTGTCGGCGCTGCTGTGTACAGCTGTGTACAGACAGATGCATTGGCAAGTTGCAATCCAAGGATAGTGCACGAAAGAAATGAAAGGCAGATGCAAGACTGGTCATGGGCAACACTCAGAGGCCTCGGAGCCCCCGAGGTGCTGGCTCAGTCCCGCCGGGAGCTGGGGACAGCCCGGCTCCGGCAGAAGGCGGTGCGGGAACCCTGCGGCACCGGGCACCGCTGGCACTGTGCGGGGGTGCGGGGACGGCCCGGCCCTCCCCGGGCAGCGCCCAGGGCAAGGGGGCAGCGTGGGACACGGCACATTCCTGCTGCGGATGGGAAGGGAGCAGCGTGGAGCCCAGCGGGGTCAGTGGGATGGACAGGACACGTGGGGCCGGGCTGGAAAGCGATGGGGCAGAGCAGGGAGGGCACAGCTGTCCTGCCATCCCCGGCGCCTGATGGCATTGCCGGGGTGCCACCTGCACAGGGACACTGTGAGTGTCCCCTCTCTGCACAGGGACACTGCGAAGGTGTCCCCTCTCTGCACAGGGACACGGTGAAGGTGTCCCCTCTCTGCACAGGGACACGGTGAAGGTGTCCCCTCTCTGCACAGGGACACTGCGAATGTGTCCCCTCTCTGCATAGGGACACCGTGAAGGTGTCCCCTCTCTGCACAGGGACACTGAGAAGGTGTCCCCTCTCCACACAGGGACACTGCAAAGGTGTCCCTTCTCCCCTGGCAGTGCTGCTCGTGGGTGACAGAACCCCTGTCCCCTGCCCCTGGGCAGTGTCCCCTGCGGCTCCGTGCGCTGTCCCCTCCTGCCAGCCACGGGAGAAGCAGAGCTCAGGCCCGGTGCCCCAGGGGCACTCCCTGGGTCAGTCCCTGCCTGAGCCCCCRTGCTGCAGCCAGCACAGCTCACCGGGCGGGTGGGGCAGGGGCACRCGGGGCTGGACACGCTGGCAGTGCATTGCCGTGGCAGTTACGGTGTGCAGTGCTCTGCAGGGAGGCTGCAGGAGGCAGTCTCAGCATCACAGGCCTGCTCCAGGGTGACAGGGCTGTCCTAACTCCGGGCCTGCTGCTGTGCCCAGCCCCTGCCAGCAAAGTGCCCAAACCCTCTCCCTTCAGCAGCTCTGTGTCTCGAGCAGCCTCACCCCAGCACTCCCCACCACAGCAGAACATTTTCCATCGAAATCACCCTCCCCAAAAAAGAAACGAGCACAAAAAAGTYAGCCCAGCACTTTGGGCTGAGATGCTCAGAGCCACAAACAGCCCGAGAGGCAGAGGGGTCCATCCCTCACCCACCAAGAGCCATTAATGGTTCCAAAACACCGCAGAGCTCCAGGATACCAGGTGGGCATTACCCTGGCACCAGCTTCTGAGCAGCCTGGGGCAGTCCCTGAGGAGCTTTCTGTCTCAGCACTGGCACACAGGGCTTGCAAGGAGGAGCCTGGCAGCTCTCGGGATCCCTCGGGAGGGGAACACTGGTGCCAGTGGCCTGGGCACAGCAGGAGCACACAGGGATGAGCCGTGTCCCCGAGGGCAGGCTGCTGGCCCCTGCTTGTATTTTCTACCGGGCCAGGGAGCAGACAGCTGGGCACGGGGCTGCCCAGAGCCCTCTGCCCCTCCTGGCACCCCCTGCTCCAGTCTCTCCATGTGTGGGGACCACACCGGTCCCCCCTCACCCACCCCAGCCTGTCCCCAGCACCTCCYGTGGCACTCAGAGCAGGGGACAGGCTGGTCCCAGCTCAGCCTCAGGGGCTCCAGCCCCACCTCCCCAGCCCTGCCCAGCACAGCCGGGCTCCGGGGACCTCTCTGCACCCTGCTCCAGGCTGGCTCGGGTGTTTGGATGGAAGGAGGGATGCTCTGGGGAGACAGAAATYCTTGCTCTGGGAAGCACATCAAGAGGGTGACGCTGTACAGGGGAGCGCAGGGAGGGGCGGGCCGGGGGCCATTACTTGGTGCCCTCGTCCGGGTTGCCTTCGCCGTCCGTCTTCCCTTCCTCCTCCGTYTTCTGGTCGTCCGTGTTGAGCCTCTGCTGCTTTTTCCGGCGCACGCACTTCACCACCATCAGCACCAGGATCACCACGGCCAGGAAGCCGCCCACGGAGGCGCCCACGATCACGGCCACCGTCGAGTCGTGTTTCGGGGGCTCTGGGGACACAGGRCACGGGCTCAGGGACGCAGCTCCAGCAGGAACAGCTGGGAAGGGGCAGGGCTCTGCCAGCAAACCCCGCACCCCGCAGCACAGGGGACCACTGACCTTGGGTGAGCACCTTCAGGCTGATCTTGCCGTGGCCCCGGTGCCGGTCCGGGGGGTTCAGCACGTAGCAGTTGTAGGTGCCCTCGTCCTCCAGCTGCACGTTTTTGAGGGTGAAGGACACGTCGTACTTGGCGGGGTTGCCRGTGAACTCCACCCGGTTGCCGAAGCGGTCCAGCTGCTTGTTCATGATCTTCGTGCGGAACTGCAGGAACTGGGCAGCCACAGRAAAGCAGGTGAGGCAGCGTTTGGCACCCCACGGGCTCATTTCCCAGCCAGGCACCCCCTCCCCGTGCAGGAAACCCCCAGGAACACCCTTGGAGCTGGTCCCAGAGCTCCCAGCAGATCCCCAGCGAGACTCACCAGCTCCTCCGAGCAGTTACTGCACTCCTGGTAYGTCCAGTTGAGGGAAAACTGCTTGTTCTCCACCTTGTAGCAGGAGTTGAAGGTGCAGGAGAGTTTCACGGAGGAGCCATTCAAGGCATTGATGGTGGCAGGGGCCATGACCTCCATGCCCCGTCCCGGGGGCGCTGCCGAAGGCACAGAAATTAGGGGGGGTGTCCCAGGCAGCCATGGYTGAGCCCAGCTCCCCATCCTGCCCTGCCTGCACAGAGCTGTCCCTGGGCCTGGCACTGCCTTCAGGCACATCCACACACACGGGCTGGCATTTCCCTGCCCAGCACGAGCAACGGGAGCAGCCCCAGCGCTGGCACCGTGCCCTGGCTGGGCAGCGAGAGCACCATCCCTGCCCTGCCCTGCCGGGGCTGCTGACCCTCCTGTGCCACTTCCACGCTGCTGAGCTCGGGCCAGCCCCGCTGGGCTCGCTGTCCCCGGGGCTGTGCTGCCGAGGGATCCGTGGCGCTGTGCCAGGCTGCAGCGTCAGCGCTCGGGGCCGGCGCCACAGCCCCGCCGAGACTGCTGCCTGTGCTCAGCACATCCATCCCCAGCAGGGCCCGGGCTCTGCAGGGAACTCGGGGGGATGCAGATGCTTTCCCCCGCTGGCAGTGCCCATCAAGGACTGTCCAGCTGGGAATGACTCGGCTGCTCTGTGCTCCCCAGCCCTGCTGACAAAGAGGGGCGTTACCTGTGCAGCTCACTGGGGAAGGGGCAGGGATGGGGTGTCTGTGCCCTGCTCCCTCCTCCGCTCCTTCCCTGCAGCTCCCCTCGGCAGCACCCAAACCCAGCGCCTGCATCCAGCACCTCGTCCCCAGGCTGGTGAAGGGGACAGCTCCTGGGCAGCCCAGCTGGCTGCAAACACCAGGCCGAGCCCTGAGCAGCGCGGGGACACGGGGACAGCGAGCTCTGGCAGGGACCGGAGCACTCAGGGGCCTGGGACACCCGACAGGGCAGGAACGGTGACACTGCCGCCAGGTGCTTTGATATCACCTCACCTCTCCCCTCGGGCTGCTGCTCTGGGCTCTCAAACCTTCTTCCCGAGGCCAAGCTGGGTGCGTGTCAGGGCCGCTACGCCGGCCGCTCCACTCCGCCTGCAAGCAGGGCAGGAAAGGGGCCAGGCTCCGAGCCGGGGAGCAGAGCCTTGCCCGAGCTGCAGACACGGCTGTGCCAGCCACAGCTCTGGCTGTGAGCTGACAGCCACAGCACCCTGGAGCTCCCTGGGGCCAGAGAGTGCCCTCAGCTATGGCCAAGCCCTGGAGATGGCTCCTGGCTGTGCTGGCAGCCTGGGGAACAACCTCCACCCAGCCCAGTGCAGGGSAGGGCTGCCACAGAGATGGGGACACTGCTGCATGGGGACGAGTCACATGTGAGGAGGGAGAAGTGTCCTGAGCCAGTGTCGTGGCCTTGCTGCCCCGTTGCAGCCCTCCACCTCTGATGCCTCCAAGAAAACCTCGCAGGGATGGGAGAAAGGAGCAAGGAGCAAGCCTGTCCCTGCAGGAATGGCTGGAGGGGATCCCTGCATGGAGCCACTGTCCAAGTGCCCCTCACACGATGCCCTGTGTGCCTGCAGGGGGGTGACATGGCCTTGTCCCATGTCCTCAGGGCACCCCAGGGCCCTACAGRGGGACGAGGTGCCACCAGCAGCAAACCTGTCACCCCAAGCTGGGAAACCACGGCCTGGCAGGACCCGGGAGCACCCATGCGTGGGGCCAAACTTTGCCAATGCCCAGGCATTCAGCGCTGGGCGACAACAGAGATGGGGCAAGAAGCCCCTGAACCCCTGGGACCGTCCAGGCCACGTCCTGCGGCGCTGCGCAGGCTCCCGAACGCACCCAGCCCGGGGGGGTTACRGTTCCAGCAGCCTCCTCCTAGCAGCAGCCCTGCCTAGGTTTGTGTTCTCCTTTCCCAGGCCCTCTGCTCGGGGAAAAGCAGCCCATCAGGAGCTCCAGGCCAGCCCTTCAAAGGAGCGGCGCGTCCCCGGGCGCGATCGATGCGGCCGCGGAGCTGCTGACACAGCGCTGCTGCTGCTGCGGGGCCGGGCAGCACGCACGGACCGCGGCCCCCAGCGCAGGGACAGCACGGGGACAGCTCAGGGACAGGCACAGCACATCTGCCAGCACCCCCAGAACAGGCAGAACCCACCTGCCAGCACCCCCAGGACAGGCACAGCTCACCTGGCAGCACATTGCCTGCCCTGTCCCCACGCCAGCCCCGCTCCCGTGCCGGCCATGCAAAGGGCTCTGTGCTCAGCACCCGGCCAGCAGCATGCGGGGCGCTTTCGGCAGAAGATGCAGCGGCAGCGTTCCCCCCACCCTGGCCGAAAGCAGGTCACCCTGGCTGGTGGCTCTCCGCAGGGTGCATGCCGGACCACCTCCGTGCCCATCCCTGCGGCACGGCGCTTGCCGGGGCTGGGGGCTCCTGGCCAGGGGCACGGGTGTCTCCCCACATGGGCACATGCAAGGGGGCTCAAGCCGACACTTACCCAGCGACAGGAGCAAGGTGAGGCCAGTGAGGAGCAAGGTGGGCTGCGGGAGCCAGCCTTCCGGGCTCATTTTGACGGACTTTTGTGTGTGGAGAGGACGTGGTGTTGGTGTGGGTTGTGGAGGTGGTGRAGGTGCTTTTTCGAACGCCCGGGTTATTTGCAGGTGACATAGAACATTAGAGCCGCTTTCTCCCCACAGCCCAATATGGCTGGAGCGGAGCTGGGGCGAAAAAAAGCAGTAAATGCTGTGGTTGGTGGATTGCAGCCGCCGGAGTGGGAGGGCGGAAAAATTTTCCCCTGAACTGCAGGCGACAGCTCCTGGCACTGCTGGCTCCCTGCTCTGTGCACAGAATGTCACACACGGTGGGTTCCTGCTGCCCCCGCAGTCCCCGGGCCCGGGGGGACACGCGGATGTGTCCCCTGTGTCCCGCTGGAGGCTGGCAGCCAGCCCCGCTCACACCGCCCGCAGCAGCGGTGCCCGTTCTGGAGAGCCCAGCGGGGCCCGGGAGCGCTGGCAGTGCCCTCCTGGAGCCGGGCACAGAGCAGAGGGGCTGCTCCGGGCTGGGGAGGGCAGGGGGACCCCAGGAGCTCAGCCAGGACGGCCCAGGTCGGCTGCAGCAGGTTGGGGTGTTCCCGGTCACCTGGAGCTCCCGGACAGCTCCATCACCTCCATGAGCGGCCAGACTGCTCTGGTGGCTCCTTCCCCTTCTCCTGCAGCATCTTCTCCTGGGACAGCACCTCATCCCACCCAGCCCTGGGACAGGGACRCTCTGCCCAGCTGTGACAGGGCTGGAGAAACTCTTTGGTTCCCTTCTCTCCACAGGTCAAGGAAGCCTTTGGGCTCTGGGCTCCGAACCTGGATTCAGGCTGCAGAGATGGGTGCAGGACAGACATGGCCTGACCTCCTGGAGACCAGAGAGGCGGTGACAGCAGCTGCTCAGGCCCGGGGACACGGAGTGGTGGCATTTGCTGGGGCAGCATCGCTGGGGAGAGAGGAGAGGGATGCCCAGGAGCCTTGGATGCTGCACAGCCGAGCTCTGGGCAGGAGGGAAGGGGCAGCGGGGAGGCAGGAGGGGGGCACAGGGGCAGGAGGGGCAGCGGGACAGCCGGGAGAGAGGAACGAGAGTGCCCCAGCAGCCCCGCTCCGCAGACACTCCCTGCACACACAGCGCTCTCCCACCCACACCGGGCAGGCAGAACCCGCTCTGCTCTGCTCCTGCGGCTGCCACCACCCTACAGAGTCCCTGTGCCATCCCCCGATGCCCCAAATCCCGCTCCGGGCGCTGGTTCCCGCTGCATCCCATCCCGCAGCCGCCTGCGGGAAAAGAGAGCAGGGTGTCAACGAGAACCAAGGAGCGCAGCGCGGCGCTGCAGTCTGCCGGCAGCGGTGGGAGGTGGAGGGTCCCGGCTCCCTCCGCACCTGCAGGTGTCAAACATCTATAGATAGCGCCCGGGAGCCGGAGATAGCGCCCGACACCCCGAGATAGAGCGGGAGCGGCGCCAGCGCCCGCCCAGACGCTGCCCCGGAGGCCCGGGAGGGGTGGCCGGGCTGTCCCCGGCCAGCGCTGCCCATCAGCCGCTGCTGACCCATGGCCAGGGGACACACGTGGGGRMCCC